GAGGCCACACGTAACCTATAGGACATGTAAACTGTACCTGTGAAGGCCACACGTAACCTAGCACAGAGCTATTTTTCAACACAGGATTTCCTTGCTGCGGTCTTCATCACACACTTTATAAAAACATGCTTGCTGAACCAGTTGACACTACCCGCTTCCTGCTTCCTCATGAGTCACTTTAGAAGCTTTAACACCACTGAGCTACAGAGGGGAAGCTTTAAAGTCTCTTATGTAACAAGTAATTTAATATATTCAATACAGGGCCTTCACTTAAAAAAGCGTTTTCTGCCGGGCATGGTTGCGCGTGCCTTTAGTCCCAGCACTCGGGAGGCAGAGACAGGCGGATCTCTGTGAGTTCAAGGCCAGCCTGGTCTACATAGTGAGTTCCAGGACAGCTGGGGCTACAGGGAGACCCTGTCTCAAAAAGACAAAAAAAAAAAAAAAGCATCTTCTTTCAGCCCCTTTTTGAGACAGATTCTCACTTGTAGCCTGGCTGGCCTAGAACGTGCCACGTAGATCAAACTGGCCTTGAACTCACAGAGAGCCCCCTGCCTCTGCTTCCTGGGTCTGAAGGCTTAAAATGTGATTTTTAAGGACAACCTTTGGCCTTAGTTTGAGCTGGACACTGGAGCACGGCTGCTCAGCACTGTCCAGAGTGCACAGGCTGAACTTTAGACCTGTGTCCTCCCAGGGCCCTGCATGCTGAAAGCTTGGTCTTCAGAGGCAGTACACTCAGAGTGGATACTGGACCTAACCACAGGAAGTTAGGTCATTAGGGGTGTGCCCTTCAAAAGGACTGGGTCCCAGCCCCTCCTTCCTATTGCTTTATTTCCTGGTTGCCATGGAACCAAGCAGCTTAACTCCCAGAAGGCTCCTTCCAGAATGAGCTGTGTGGCCAGAGGCCCAAAGCTACTGGGTCATGTGACACAGACAAGCGTGAACCAAACACTGCTTCCTTAAGTTGGTATAGGGACTGTGGTATAGGGAAGCTGGCTAGCACAGGTATCAGTAAGAAATGAATGGGAACATTAAACAGAGGGGGACGTACAGTCCCAGGGTTTGGGGACATCAGGAACCACGGTCACAACAAATCCACTTCTGTGACTCTAAGCTTAATTTTTCAAAAAGTTTGCAAGCTGAATCAGCACTCCAAAGGAGAGCTAAAAAATGTCGGCGTCCTCTTGCTAAGTGTGCGGTGACAGAGCACTGGCGTCCGGTACTCACCGTCCTTCAGAGTCTCCTTCGTCAAGCCTCTTCCGTAATGCTGGTTTTCTGTCTCAAAGCTGTCGGAGTGCACGTGATAAACCTGTCCAGATAAAGAGTGAACCTTGAGAAGCGTGACCCTGACCTGTGGGGCAACCTTGACCATGACGGGTTTTCCTAGCAGTGCAGGGTGATCACAGATTGACATCTATTGACAGACTTCACAACAGATATGAAAAGAAAAAGTCACACTGCCAGGTCAACGGATGCTGAAGTTGACCCAAAGTACCGTGAGCACTCCCTTCTGAAGTCTGCAAAGAGTGATAAGCATGTTCAATATAATAAAATGATTTATTTATAAAATGATCCACCACAAGTTAGCCTCAAGCTTACAGAGGAGAATTTCTTTTAAAATATCAAAAGCGGCTAGGTAAATTCCAGCATTTGGGAGGCAGAGGCAGGCGGATCTCTGTAAGTTCAAGGCCAGCCTGGTCTACATAGTGAGTTCCAGGACAGCTGGGGCTACAGGGAGACCCTGTCTCAAAAAGAAGACAAAAAAAAAAAAAAAAAAAAAAAAAAAAAAAGACAAAAAAAAAAATCAAAAGCTTAGCTGAGCACGGTAAGATGCCTGTAATCCTAGCACTTGGGAGACAGATGGAGAAGAATCAGGAGTTTAGGGCCACCCCTGGCTGCATAGCGAGTTTGAAGCCAACGTGAACTATACCAAGGCCTGAATAAAAAAAAATTGAAGTGCTGGGCATGGTGGCGCACGCCTTTAATCCCAGCACTCGGGAGGCAGAGGCAGGTGGATTTCTGTGAGTTCAAGGCCAGCCTGATCTACATAGTGAGTGCCAGGACAGCTGGGGCTACAGGGAGACACTGTCTCAAAAAGACAAAAAAAAAAAAAAAAAAAATTGAGGCGGGGAGAACGGGGAACAAACTCAGCAGGTAGAGTGCTTGCACAGCACGCACATTGCTCTGGATTCAGCCTCCAGCCCACACGAAACCGTGTGGTTACACACACCTGCAATGCCAGCACTCAAGAGGCAGAGGCAGGAGGGTCAGAGGTTCAAGATCATCTCAGCTACATAGCAAATTCAAAGCCAGGCTGCTGGGCTGAAAGAAAGCATCTCTGTGGGCATGGTATCACACACCTTCGGCCCCAACACTCATGAGGCTCTCTATGAGTTCAAGGTCAGCTTGGTCTACACAGCAAGCTCCAGGCCAGCTGGGGCTACAGGGAGACCCTGTCTCCAAAAAAAAAAAAAAAAAAGTGTTCCACTGCAAACATCTTGTCGTTATTTGCATCTGTCATTATTCTGGAGTTATTAGCAAATGTAAACAAATAAGATAAAAAACAGAGGTATTTAGGGCTGGAGAGATGGCTCAGCAGTTAAGAGCACTGACTTCTCTTGCAGAGGACCCGGGTTTGATTCCCAGCACCCCCATGGCAGCTATGAATTGTCCTTAAGACCAGTTCCAGAGGAATCCGAAGCAATCTTCTGACCTCCAAGGCATTGCAAGACACTTGTGCACTTACATACATGCAAACAATACACAAACTCATACACATAAAAACAATAAAATATGTATTTTTAAAAAAGTATTAAAAAAAGTTATTCAGAAAGGTCAAGATAAAATTATTCTCTGTAGAAAATGGACATACACCCAAAAATCAACTCAAAAACAAATACAAGCATTAAGCAAACTGCAGTAGTGGTTAAGGGTACTGTTAAAGGAGACATGACCTTCATGTGTAAATGACGTGCTGCAGGAGGGAGGACTCCTTCCATACGTGCCATAAAGAACTGAGACAGCAATTAAGGCCACAGCGCTCACAAAGGCGTGCATGCCATGCATGCCAGATGACTCAGCCCCATAAAGGTGTCAGCTGGACTAAAGCTAATCCACAGCTAAAATGAGATGACCATAAACTACTAATTTTTTAATCATATAAACTAAAGTTCATGGATGAATGTCTGTCAACTACAAGGGAGCCCTGCGATGGGATCACTTCAGCTGAGGTGTGAGACACCAGTCTGGCCAGCACAGTAAGAAGTTCATCCAGGAAAACAGGAGCCGGGCAGTCAAAATCCTAAAAGGGAGGGCTAACTTTAACGCCAGATAGTAATATATGTTGTGAGACTTTGATCTGATACGATAACAAAATTAAAGTCAATGGGAAAAGATGGACTATTTATTAAGTGGTGTTGGTCTAAAATAAGATGCCAGAATAAATTCCAAACACATAAGAGATCACAACGTACAAAATAAGAAACAAAGTAAGACGCGCCCTCTTCAAAGAACACGGGGCCCTTGAGTGCCTGCTGAGTACGGAGGCACTAACTCAGCGTATTCATCATGCAGAAATCAAAAACAAGGACTGTCTACGTGAGATGTGTCTGCCGAGCACAGGGCATGTCTCCACGTGAGGGAGAGCAAAGGGTCTCAAGAGTGCCCAGGGCTCACACAGCCCCAGATCTGGCATGGCAGAGTTCTTCCCCCAATTCTGAACAGCAAAACCATCTCAGACACTGGCAAATGCCTTGCCTGGGGCGCAAAACTGACCCGGGCATCAAGCAAACTGCCCACAGCTATCTATCTACTGTGGATGCGCATAAACCAGCACTCTACCTAGCGGGCTCATCCCAGGACTCATTGCTACATGGCAGGTACCAACAAGGTCTGGAATCATCCAAGGAAGCTGGTTAAATGATGGTGTAAGAACACCAACCCCACTGTGATCTCAGGATGTGCTAAACAGGAAAAAGAGGACAGACCAGTGTTCAAAGTAGCTTTTGTGATAAAAGAACACATCTGTCATAAAACAAAATAAATTTAAAAAGGAAAAGAACCAATTTGGTTGTGAAGGGAAAACAAATCCCCAACTGAATAGCACAGCATGGTAAAGACGGGTTCCTTAAAACCTGAAAGAAAAAAGGACCAGGCAGACATTGAAGAACAGTGAACGAACACTGGAAGGCTCCAGGGCGCTGGACAGGAGCGAGGCAGAGGGCCCCAGGGAGGGCTCCCTTTGGACAGGCTGAAGACTGCACCCCAAGAGAAAGGGAGGACATGACAAGTCCAGCGGCAGAACAGCTGCGCTGGCTGTGTGCCCACCAGTGGGAATGGGCACACGCTGTCTGATAGATTCTGTTTTCGGAACAAGACCATCCGCACAAAGCAAAGCAGGCAAGCAGGAGGTGTGCGATGGGTCTGCCAGCAGCGAAGGCCTCAGCGGCCTGCTGTGGGTGCCCAGCTTGTCACGGATGCTAGAACCGTTCCTTTTTCTTTCTCAAAACTTATTATCTATTAACCTGTGGAGGGCAGGGGCCACGTGCACACCACAGGGTGCTTATGGAGGTCGGGACAGCTTGGAGCTGACTCTCTCCTTGCACTTTTCTGTGAGTTCTAGGGGTCAAACTCAGGTCAGAAGGCCTGCAGAGGAAGCACCTGCAGTCACTGAGCCATCCTACCAGCCCTGTTCCACATGCCCACGTTCACTGTACTCTCCTAAAATGAACACTGCTTGAACAATCGCATTTTCTGTACAACCACATACCAAATTTGCTTTGCTCCGCCATCGCCATCACAAAGGCAATCGCCTACAACGCCCCCTCTGGACTCCTGTGTCTCAAAAGGAAGATCAGGAATCATTTGGACACACTCCTGCGTGTGAGTAATCACTGGACATGACCAGTTTTCCACACACCTGGAATACATCACACCATTGGTTTAGAGGACTGTACTCCCTTAGCACTTCCCAGCCGTGGCTTGTCTGAGAAATGGTCTCCACAGTTTCTCCTTCCATCCTTTGCGCTCTGGTATTTGTCCTGTGACCTGGCTTTCCCCCTATCAGAGGCAGGTTCTGCTCCCTTCTATGACTCTGAGGTGACCCTGTGACAGACTATGATCTACAAATTTCATTCACATATGACAGCAAGTAGCTTCCTACTTGAGTTCAAGAACCTCTCTAGGCCCTCTCTGGCTCCTTACAGTGTGGCCCCACAACAGGAAAAGGCTCAAGCTGTCCAGCTGACAAACGGCACTGTGTGGACAAAAGCCCAGCCCTCAGTCAGTACTAGCTTCCAGCCAGGTGGGAACAGCAGCCTGTCATTAGTCCATTACTCCATGGCTCCTGATATCAGCATTATATATTATAAACACATACGAAAGCATCATATAGTACCACACAGACATAAAATTTTTATCAGTTAAAAGTAAAACATTTAGCTGGGTGTGGTGGCACACACCTTTAATCCTAGCACTCGGGAGGCAGAGGCAGGTGGATCTCTGTGAGTTCGAGGCCAGCATGGTCTACATAGTGCCAGGACAGCTGGGGCTACAGGGAGATCCTGTCTCAAAAAGACCAAAAAAATACATTAAGTAAATTAAAAAAAATAATACTAACCCACCACAGAACTATATATAAATAAAGCAATGGTTCTAAATGAAAATCTAAAATATTTTAATTTTTCTCTTTAAAATATAGAAAAATTATCAAATATGTAAATAGTATTCTTATAGGTAAGCCATAAATAATGTTTACTTTTAATATTTATTGCGCACCTAAACTTAAAACTTCTTAAAAACAAGATTACAAAAGAAAGTCACCAGTCACATCGCTGAGGCCTGGTCACTTGTGTTAATTACCTACTGGGTGTCAAGAGCAAATGCAAACCAGTGAACAGCAGAGCTGAACCTGCCCTCACCACACTGCATGGGCAGCCGCAGACACCCCAACCCAGAGCACACTGTCCTCGTCTACTCGTACTGTGGAGTTTCCGATGGAATGATATGTAAAGAGAAACGTGCACTTTGCAGGAATCATCACCCTTACCCTCATGCCGAGCACCAAGAACCCAATCTCTTCCATTAGTGGGTACTTGCTGACCTGCTGCCCAATCTTCTCAGATGAGGCAAAAGGATCGTAGCTCTTCCGTCCTATCTTTACATCCATTATACAGGGCTTATTAAATTTATGAGTCACATCTTCCAGTTTTAGGTATACATCTGTTATTTAAGAGAAATCTTAATTAATGACAGGCAATCATATTATTCAAATAATTTCCAAGAAAAAAAAGAAGAAATGCTAGAAAAAAGTTAAAATAAATCCAATTCGTAACAAGCATAAATGTAACAGAGAAAGTCTTGCAAGACATAAATCCAGTGACATACAATCCTGTAAGCAACAGCAGTGCAGGGGTCAGGAGCAGTGCCCCTTCTGAATGCAACCAACAATCACCTCCAAATGTGCGCTCTTACAAATGTGCTTTTTAGAACACAGACAGCTCAAAAGCCAGTCTGCAAACCTTAGCATCCTGCACACATCATCCCACAGAATACTTCATACAGTACTATGGAAGCCCCAGTTAACATGCACTTCTCACAGTCTGGCCTTGAAAGCAAAGTCACAAGGAGGAAAAGGTGGGGGATGAGATTCTCCCCCTCTCCTAAGTAAAGCGATCCTCTCAAAATCCTCAATGACATTATGACTTGTGTTTTAGTTACAAGTGTAATAAGAAACACTTCTTTTGGGGCTGGGGACACAGATCAGAGTTAGAATCCCCAGAACCCACATAAAGACAGACACATCAGGTCTGCCTGCAATCCAACCACTCCTACTCATAGATGGGAGGTGGGGACCAGAGACTCTTCAGGATCTTGCAAGCCAGCTACCTGGCACATGCAGCAGTAAACGAGAGAGCCTGTCTCAAACAAGGAGGAATACACAGACAGACACCCAGGGTTGTCCTCTGACCACTACACATGTGCTGTGGCTCACACCCGCCTGTGCTCATGAATAGAGAAAACCCTCTCCTAAAAAGTCTCCTCAAAGACAGAGGAGTAGATGCTGCTATCGGGTTAGAAAAGGCATATGTTTCCACGGAATTAAGTAAAAGGGTAAGAGAAGCCCGACACGAATGTCCTCTGCCCTGTCCCACCCCAACAGCAGCTTTTAAATTACAATAAAAAGTCTGTGCTGAGCCAAATTCGAAAGCTTTTCAAGTCCTCGGATTTAACAGGCATACATCGGCAGAGGGCAAGGGGTAAGCAAGTACACAGTGTCCCTCAGCCAAGGGAGTGCAAAGGTGGGTATGCCTATGTGGACGGAAGGCCAAACATGACAAGACAGGAACAGCAGCCCAGCAGAGGGGCACTAGCAGCCGAGACGTGGCCCACGAGGCAAGGTTCTAGACATCAAAGGCAAAGGACATGATGTCCCCCTTCAGGAGCTGGGTGTACCAAGCACCTGTTTCTAAAAGGCGACCGCAAGCCAGCAGTCCAGAAAGGACGCAGCCCAGGGCGGCCCTTCAGATTCTGTATCACCTCCACAACTCCAAGATGAAATCATGAAATTTGCAGGTAAATGGATGGAACTAGAAACTGTTATACTAAGTGAAGTAACACAGACTCAGAAAAACAAATGACGCATGTTCCCCCTCATATAGATTGGATCCTAGCACCAAATCCTTATAAGTGAGTATGTATCTAGACATAACTAGAGGAACCAGGATAATTAAAGAAACCAGGGAGGTAAAGGAAAAGAAAGAATCGGAGAGAGAACAATAGGTAACAGGTGTTAATAAGGGAGATATGGATAAAAATGGGATTATTTAAATGGGAGGGAGGGAAGGTTATACAAGGAGCCTCGGGGATAAAGGGAAAGGGGGAGCTCAAGGGAGGTGGGACCGTAGGAGAAGGGTATTAGTAAAGGAGAAATGGGGGAAATGGGGTAACCATGGCGGGAGGCGGGGAGGGAGGAAGGGAGAGAATAGATAAATAATGCCTGGCTAGTTTAAAAAAACCAGAGGGAACCATATTAGTCCAACAGCCTACTGACAAATTACACATACATTATCTCTACATGAGTCTATGTATGCACCTAAAGGCTACATAACAAGAAACAGTGCCAGACAGGAGAAACCGTCCTTTGAGTTGTTGGCCAAAAATTACTCAGGCTATTGCTACAGCCCCTGATGGCCTCCTAGAACTTGAAGGTAAGACCCTACTGCTGAAGACAGGACATACTTCAGACACAGATTTGGAGCAATAGAGATGCAACTGACCTGCAACCACTTCCCCTGAAGGCAGCTCTCAGAGCTTTGGAGAGCGCTATGAAGGTGCCGAGGGAAAACATCAGTGGATGATCCAACACCAGCTTCATGACCGAATAACCACATCAGTGGCCAGCACAGCGTATGTCACTGGTGCAGTAGTGGCACTTTTATCTTGGGGGCAAACAACAGCTACCTAGTTTGACTAAACGCCATTCAAAGGGAGGGAATAAAGCAAGTGTTATTTTTCTTAATCTGTTTTTTTCTTATCTTATTTGTGTGAGAGTTCTATGTATCTATGTGAACCTGTGTATGCTGTGCTCATGGAGGTCAGAAGAGGGCATTAGATCCCCTGTGTGCTGGATAGCTTTAGTGTCAACCTGACACACTTGGGTTGAGGGAGCCTCAATTGGGGAATTGCCTCTATTGGACTGGCCTGTAGCCATGTCCCTGGGGCATCTTCTTGAAGGGTCGTGTGGGAGGGCCCAGCCCACTGGGGGTGGTGCCACCCCTGGACAGCTGGGCCTGTGTTGCATAAGAAAGCAGGCTGAGCAAGGGCCAGGGGAGCAAGCCAGTAAGCAACATTCCTCCATGGCCTGTGCTCCAGCTCCTGCTTCTGGGTTCCTGCCCTGAATTCCTACCTTGAGCTCCCTGATGAACTGTGACCCAGGAGATATAAGCTGAATAAACCCTTTCCTCCCTAAGTTGGTAGTGGTCAGAGTGTTTTGTCACAGCAACGAAGAAACAAACTAAGACATCCTGGAACTGGAGTTCTAGGTGGCTATTAGCCACCACGTGGGTGCTGGGAACCACACCTGTGTCCACTCTAAGACCAGCCAGCACTCCTACCCTCTGAGCCCTCCCTCTCTCTAGCCTTCAACAGAAGTGGCCCTAAGAACTGAAGCTGTGCACTCTGCCCCTGGCCACCAGCTTGGACAACATGTAAGAAAATGGAGCATAAGCCGAGCATGAAACGTTAGGTTTGCAGGATGCTGTGTGTGTCTGAATATTAATTCACTCTGAAAAATGCTACTAGCAAATTCTTCAGTAATTCAGCAGAATAAGGATGAATCAAAGCAGATCAACCCTGAGATTCAAGAACATAAAAGATCACAGGCATCTCATTACAGGCCCACCTCACGAAGCGGAACCAAACTGAAACCTTTTCAGCCAGGCTCTGGGTACAGAGCGGAACAACTGCTTCTGTGTGGGTTACAACCCAATAGTGGACGGACTGTGAACTGAATGACAGAGGGAGAAAACATACGGCTGTCTGATACTGAGTAAATACTGTTGTGGAGCTGGTCTCATCCTTAAACACCCTGAGCTGTGGTATAAAATGCACTGGTTACATGTCATAAAGAAGTTTAATACAACATTTGGCTATGGAGAGTGTTGTTGTGTATTATGGTGTTGGTTCAACTCAGGAGTGACCCAGAAACTCTCAGAAGTGGCCCTGTCATCCTCTGGAGCCTAGTTCCTATCACAGTCACTCAGCAGGGCAGTCATCTTGTGCAAATTTGGCCACAGTGCACGAGTCTTCCAAATTAGGAACTGGGAATCAGAGAACCTGTCTGTCCAGTCTCTGGTCATCAGCATATGCCCTAACATTAGATCCCTTCAAGAAAAGTAGGGAGGCCCCTTGGTGGGGATGACCACCAAGCAGAAGAGTCAGGGATGGGCTAGGGACACAGCACAAAGACACCCCTGTACTCCAACCCTGGGTTCCAGGTCTGGTTCCATCTTGGGGTCCACCGCACAGCCCCAACTTTCCTAAAATAGCCCCATGTCCTTGTAATACATGGTTCCATCCTGTTTACTCACATCTGGTTCTAGAACTTCTATTCACAAGTCGTAACCAAAAGTTTAAGTTTCAAGGAAGAGAAAGTTCAGCTCACTTACTGACTCTACCACTTGTTAGCCTCTGTCATTAGTGGCCCTTCCCTGTGCCCCAAATGCCCAGAGAGAAGGACAGAATTGACCCCAGGCCTGTCAGGACACTGTCCACACCAGTTTCGTAAGTGGTATTCCACCATTTTCCTTACCCCCTCCAGAATACAACTGTGCATTTTCTATAATTACTGTATGAGACGCTGTGTTGGGACATACAGGTAAGCAAAATGTAAAAGTCTTGTCTTCACAGAGATCCTTTTAGGAGTAGATAACACTTTTTTTAGCATAATGCTTGGCATCTACCTGGTACTCACTGAGCACTGTAATTTTACTTGCAAGTGTATGTAAATATCAATTGTGCACATGTCTGAGAAACACGAACACCTGTCAATGCTGCTATATCACCAGTGGGTCCAGGTTGAACTTCAAGGTCCAGAATAAAGAAAAATGCAAGATAATTCCCTGGAGCAAACCCTTACCTTCCAGATACAACTTAATAACCATGAAATAAAGATACGGCCACTAAGCCATTATTATGGGCACTCCATAACCCGGAGGCTTTAAATCTTATCCTGTAGTTAAGTATTAACAAGAACATCTACTTATTACCTATCGATTCTACCCCAAGTTAAAATGAACTCTGACTGCAAGCACAAGCTCATCGCCAATCTCAAGCTGCCTCACAAGGTCTCAGCGGTCACACTGCACTTGTAGCTCTCCTCGCTGGCCCACCCTCTCTGACATGCATCAGACACTGCTGCCAGCTTGCTTCCCGAGTTTATCTGTTCTAGGAAAAGGTTATAGATTAGTTAAGACCACAGGTAGAAGAGGCACCACAACAAATGTGACAGCTGTTTCTTAAAAGGATTTTATTACTTTTATTTTATGTGCTTGAGTGTTTAGCCTGTGCATGTGTGTAAGTGTACCACATGTGTGCAGTGCCCTTGGAGGTTAGAAGAGGGCACTGGGTTTCCTGGAAGTGGCGTTATAGGCAGTTATGAGCTGCTGTGTGGATGCTGGGAACCAAACTCAGGTGCTCTATAAGAACAGCAAGTGCTCTTAACCACTGAGCCATCTTTCCAGCCCTGACAGCTTTCTATGTTAATAGTTCAAAGAAAGATGATGGTGGGGCTGGACGTGGTGGCGCACGCCATTAATCCCAGCACTTAGGAGGAAGAAGCAAATGGATCTCTGTGAGATAGAAGCCAGCCTGGTCTACATAGCAAGTTCCAGGCCAGTTGGGGCTACAGGGAGACCCAGTCTCCAAAAACAACAACCAGAAAAGAGATAATGATAATGGTAAAAAAGAAAATTTAGGATGTACTAAAAACCCTGATAAGAATAAGATAAAAACACTCTCACTGGAATAGGTTGAGTTTGCTACAGCCAAGATCAATGAATTAGACTACATTAGCATGATGCTTAGGGAATTTCTTATAATTACTTCATTAAGCTGTAGCTTATAAAATAGAATTTTGAGTATTGAAAAATGATAGTTGATTTTATATATATATATACACACACATACACACACACACACACACACACACACACACACATATATGCTTACATAAATATCTAAGTCATAGAGACAGCAGCATCATTAACTGGACTGAGTTTTAAACTTTGGGAGCTCTGTGTCGAACAACCAATTCCCAGTCTTTCAGAGTCCAAGGCTTTGCTTTAGTAAATCCCAGATCTACGAGAGACACAGTGCATAGCTTAGTGCTGGAACTGAACAGTGATAACAGGGGTCTGCTCTTCACAGATACGTGGAGTTCATTCAAAAGACCATAGTACCACAAGTGTCAAGAACTATGGCCTGATCTAGCATTTATTCATGAATTCATTTAAAAAGTGTTCAGAGTTTCTATAGTTTATTAAAACTTATAGTATAAAACTTACATTTAGTTGATGTTTAATTACATATTTTAACATAATGGATGAATTCTCTTCATTTTCAATAACTTTGTGCAATCTTATACCATCATCAACTGTATGAAATTACTTTTTTCATGTGCATATGGTGTGCATGCATGTGTGTGGTATGTACACACATTCATGTGCTTATGTGGCAGCCGGGGGTTGACAATGAGCATCTTCCGCAACTCTTCTCCACCTTACTTAGTGAGACAGGGCTTCTCACTTGAACCCAAAAGAAAAGACCTTTAAGCCAAAAGACAACGAACCAGAACAAGGAGAGAAGGACTAAACCCAGCACCCCTAGTCAAAACCTCAAATCCAAAATGCTCCACAATCTGAAGGTTTGGGAAAATCCCATACCCGTCTTCCAGGTCGGCTCACAGTCATAAACACAGGCACACCACTCACACCATAATGACCACCTTCAGAACATTAAGAGCGACTGGGCCCTACATCTGGAAAGCTGTGCATATACAAACATCCCTGGAGAAGGACTCTGTACTTCAGATAAGGTGGAAAGAACAGGCTGCGAGGACCTCGACAGGTGTAGCCATGGACTCACCATTCTTCAGCCAAGGAGCCCCAAGGGAGAAACCATGATACCCTCCTAGTGATACCTGAAACACTGAGTTCATAATCAAAAGGATTCCCTCTTTTGAAGTTGTTGGTGTGGGAGGGAGATCATAGACCCTCAAACAAACAATGCCGGATGGCAGGCCCTCTGCTGAGGCACCAACGAGGAGAAACCAAGCTGGCACTGACCTCAAGCTTCGTCCCTGCTGGTTTTCACAGTGCTGCTGGGTGCTGCGCATGCTACCGGAACAGGAAAGCAATCACCAGCCTTACCCAGCTGTACATCCTGCAAGCTGTAACAACTCACCTGGCAAAATACATCCACTGGCGCATTAGTGGCATGAATCTTATGGAGTGATCAACCAACTTCTGATTGGATTTAAGGCCTGGTTCACAAGATGGAGCTTAAACCTGTCACTGCTATCAGGGCCGAGAACCTGTGGCTTCACAGTTCACAAACTGCAGGCAGAACCTACTGCTGTCACTCTGCTAAAGGGACACAGTACTGACTGACTCCTGACGGCTTACTGTCACACCCACAGATCAGTGCATCTCAACTCTCACCAGAGAAGTTTGTTTTTCCAGCAGATGGTAATTAACACAGAGACACTCAATTCATCAATGTGCAGAGAATAAGAGACTGTGGAATGTTCCACCCTAAGGGGGACACCTACGTCACACCCTCTCGTCCCAAGGCTCAGGGACCACTATGGAACTGGAGTGGAAAGGCTGTGAGGACCAGAGGTGGTAGACGCCTACAAGGAAGCAGTCGTTTTCCAGATGACAGGGCAGTTGCACATATGAACTCACAGCAATTGTGACAACATGCACAAGACCAATGCAAGCTCAAGCCAGACAAAATCCCAGCCAGCAGAGGGGGAAGTGAGCCAGAAGCCTCTCCCTAGCTGAGCACCGCTGCCAACCGCTAGCTGCTGGGAGAGGAAGGGTCAGTTTTCTTTAAGGTGCTTTCTTTGTGATGCTGGACAGGCCGACAGGGCCCCAGAAAATGGACCCACACCAAAGACCACCAGGGACACAAATCAGACTCCACAGCTTCAAAGAGAACAACAGAGGGCATGGAGTTGGGGTTTAGTAAGGTAGGGGTGGAGATGGGGGACAGGGTCCGAGTAGGATCAGAAGAGATGAAATTCTCAGAGTCAATAAAAATATCCAAGGAAAAAAAGAAAAGACAAGTGAGGAGAGGAAAGCCTCCGACTGCAGCCTTAAGGCCTGCACAGGAAAGCCCCAGATTGGACTTGGCAGAGCGTACCCTTCGACTCCAACGCCAACCCACAGGGTCTCATTTCATCCTCGAGGACACGTTAGTGTTTTCCAAGAGACTGCAATTTAGAGCCTGCAGGTGAAGGCGACAAAGCCATGCAGAGAAAATACTTCTGCTTGATTTTCGATTTTTTATTCTTTAGATTAAAAAAACCTTTCTTCGTACATATTTCATGTGCCAAATGGGAAAAGAAAAGGTACAAAAATTAGGAAGGAGGACATATGTAAATTAATAAAGTATTAAAAAGTACTCTCATGCAAATATAAGAGATGTATCATTTAACTTATTTATGTCACTTACAAAATGTCAATGAAAAGCAGAATATCAATGTGTTTCCTTTAGTGGAGAAAAGAAAGGCACCAGGCTGTTTTTATAGCACACACTAGGTTTGTGTGACAGAAAGCATTTGTAAGGCCAGCCGCATGACTACAGCTAGACAATGCCCATTCGGGAAAACCTTACCGTCAGGTGCAGTGGGCGGCGACCAGACGCCGTAGTATTTGGGCAGATGTTTCCGCAGCTCCACAAGAACAGCATCAGCACAGTCAGCAGCGTAAACCTGAACACACAGGGCTGGTCAGTGCCTCCGAATGCCTTATGACACAACCCTGAACACTTCTCAAAACCAAACCACTGGTCACAATTCAAATGGTATGGGTTCCAGACGGCAGTACAGCCAAGTAAAGAAGAGCTATTGCATATAGCACAGTCCTCCTGGTCATCAAGTGTACTTAGCGTGTCTTTCAACCATTTACCACTAAGTAAGTTGTATATAACTGCTACCAAATTTAAAACAATCTCCTTACACATGGCCACACATTTGGCTAGTGGGGGCCTGCTAGCTACTGCCCAGACCCTGGAGGAAGAAGGGTTTAGAGTGTACTCCGTTCACTCAGCCTCTCCCTACCAAGTTAGGCTCTCGCTTCTCATCTAAACCATTTTTAGTTTCTTGCATTTATTTTCACATCTCGTGTGTATGAAGAAGACAACTTGAGGAGGCCAGCTCTCTCCTTCCACAAAGTGGGTCCCCATCAAACTCGGACTGTCAGGCTTGGCAGCAAGTACCTCTATCGGCTGAGCCATTTCCCTGGCTCCTTGAACTATGTTTAACACCTGCCTGGTTCTCTCCCTAAACAAATTAAATAAAATCTTCTAGATATTATCTATTCTATATATATGAAGCAATTTTTATTAAAAAAAAATATGGTTTGAGGGCCTTAAGTCTAAACGGCCAAGTAATTTTATGAGTGAGAAGACCTACACAGGTCAAAATGGTGTCGTGATAAATTCCTGAGACATCTATGTAACAGAATTTCATTTACCAGAACCCGAACCTTGAATGTAAAAGGGAGGGGAAATAAAATTTAAAAATTAAGTTACTCTTTCCATGAAAAGGTCCCTGAAAACTGCTGTGCACTGAGGAGCAGCATGCGTGTCCTCAGTGAGCACACGCGTGGGGGCAGCTCCCGGCCAGCAGTCACACACGCTGGATACCACACATCCTCAGAGGGCACAGGTGTGGGAACACCTCGTGGCAGTCACACACACTGGAGCTGAAAGCTGAGAGACACTGTATAATCCCAACCCTTCGAGTCCTGTATCTTGTCACTCTCAAGAGGAAAGAAGACAAGCTTTGACTTCTCAGAAATCCAACCCACTGTTATAGGCTGAGTGGTGAGCCTCCAAAATTCACTTACCATGTCCTAACTCCAGGATCTCAGAACAGGACTGACCATACGTGGAGAGCAACTACAGGAGATCATTACAGTTAAAATGAGGTCGCTGCTATGATGGCGTTCTTAGAAAGCCCGAGAACAGGACACAGCACACAATGAGATTATGAGAAGACACAATACAGCCATGGACAGGTGAGGGAGAGAGGTCTGCAGAGGAAGCCCTTCCTGACTGCAGCCAACCCCGAAGGCCAAGACTCCACAACTGTGAAAATCAAATGTCTGCTTGGGGGGGGCTTATTTTGAGGGTTTTTGTTTGTTTGTTTGTTTGTTTGAGGCAGGGTCTCCTTGTAACCCTGGCTGGTCTGAAACTCACTATGTAGACTAGGTTGGCCTTAGTCTCAGAGATCCACCTGCCTCTGCTTCTGCTACTGCTGAGATTAAAGGTGTGTGCCACCAAGCCTGACCAAATTCCTGTATTTTAAGGCGAACACCGAACTCCTTTGTTAGGGCAGCCTGAGAGACACACGCCACCTATCCCCCTCACTACGATCTGCTCAAACCTCTGCTTTTTCTGTCCAGTGATCGCCACACTGAGCAGCACTTTCAGAGGGACCAGAAACACAGGTAAGACAGACTAATGGAAGTAGCATGGGAGCACGGAGCTTCCAGTGGGGTGGGAGGGCATTTCTACACTCTCAGAATCAGTGCAAGCGTCAGCACTGAACAAAACTCAACCAATGGGCCGGCGAGGTGGTTGGTGCACACCTGTAACACCAGCACCTGGGAGACCAAGACAGAAGACTGCTCGTCTAAGGCCACTCTGGGCTTCACAGTAAGTTCCTAGGCTACAGAGCAAGACCCTGTCTCAAAATACAAACAACTATTCCTCACGAATAAAGACACAATTCCTGAGTGAGATGATGAAACCAAGCCCACTGACAAAGCACGGGCTACACCTGACCCAGCACAGACTGCTGTTGTGATCAAATGCTGACTTCAAAGAGAGAGCGGTTCACATCATCTGAAATCAGTTAATATCATCTGAAAGACTAAGAGCCGAAACTCCATGTCAGTAATCCCCCAAACTGAAATACAGAAGTCCACAAAAGGCTCCACTTGGCTTTTTGGCAAAAACTGACACCTTGATGTTAAATACAAACAGAAATACAAGGAACCCAGAACAGCCAGAATCATTTTCAAATAAAGCAAATTTGGGGAGCTCATGTTACCCAATGTCAAACTTACTACCCAGCTACGATAATCAGTAGAGGGTACACACTTAGCTAGGGAACAGACCAGAGCCCGTGAGCCTCCTGGTAGGAATCCGCTTCCTGCCTCCCCGTTCCAGCTCACCTGCATTCCCTGAAAACAGCTCTCCTTTATTTATAGTCAACTGATTTTTGATAAGGTCACAGAAACAGCTCCCTGGGGAAAACACAGCCATTTCAACAGTGAGTTTCACTCACAAAAATATTCTGAGGAACTAAATTTATGAGTAAAAGTTACACAATTCCTAGGAAAAAAAAAAATAAGCAGGGCCTTTATGACTTTGGAATAGGCAATTGCTCCTTTCAAAAAAATTTTATTTATTGCTTTTCTATGTGCATGAGTGTTTATGCATGCGTGTACATAAGTGCACTGTGTGTGCAACGCCTACAGAAGTCAGAAGAGAGCATCAGAACCCTGGAACTGGAGTTATCATTGGTTATTAGCCACCATGTGCATGCTGGGAACCAAATCCAGGTCCTTTGCAAGAACAGCCGGTGTTCTTAATAGCTGTTTATTTTTAAAAGATTATAAAATTTATTTTGATTTTACGTGTGAGTGTCTTGCCTGCATGTATGTGCACCATGTATGTGCAACCCTGGAACCATAAGGCAACCCTGGAACCCATTGGGCCTGGAGTGGGAGGAAGAGTAACAAGTGCTCTTAACTACCGAGCCACCTCTCCAGCCCCGTCAGCTGCTTAGATGCGACAAAAGGACACAAGCAACAGAAAACTAAACAGCAACAAGCCACAGACAGGGCTGACGCCACCAACTCGTAGGTCTTTTGTCTTGCACGACACCACCAAGACCATGAAGAGACAGCTGCAGAGGAGCCCACACCTGCAAACAGTGCGGCTGGTGAGGAGCCCACAGCCACAAATGCAGCCACCTAACTATGCACCTGAAACTTTTATACAAGTCAAATACAAAACAGGATGAAGAGCTGAACAGGCATGACCGTAGAGAAGACACACAAGAGCCAGTCCCTACATGTGAAGATTCTCAACGCCAGTCACCAGGGAAACACCACTCAAAACAAGTTATGAGATGACACGTCACAATCACCAGGATGCCATCTTAAAAAGAAAAAAAGAAAAACCAAACAAACAAACTAGGAAACAGGAAGTGTGGGAAACGTAGCGAGAGCAGCCTGATCAGACAGTGGAAGAACAGGAGACCGCAGCCACTCCAGAAAACACTGGACAGTGCCTCCAAACCTTAAATGTAGCATTACCCAACAACAGGCTAGGGAGAAGGCCCAGTGGTCACACACTCGGTGTATGAGCATGGGGACCTGAGTTTGGATCCACAGCACCCACATAAAAGTTGGGCATGGTAGTGTGCACCTGTAACCCTGGCAGGGGGCTAGGATGGCCATGGGGGAGGGGGACAAGTAAATCCTAGGGACTCACTGATCAGTTAACCTACGGAAATGGCAAGCTTCAAATTCAGTGGGAAACTGTTTCAAAACTAGAGTGGGAAGTGATGGGGAAGCATGTGACGTCAACTTCCGCCTCCTTACACACAGGCACACACTTAACAAATAGCCTAAGAATTTCACTCTTCTATACCCCAAAGAAGTCAAAGCAAGCAGCTACACATACACAAACACTCATAACAGCACTGTCATCAGAAATCCGAAGGTAAAACAACCCAACATCCACCACAGGGTTAGCAAATTCAAAGAAGCAGGACACGTTACAATGCAGCGGACCATAAACGTCACAGCAGACAAGCTCAGGACACCAAAAGTGTCATTTTGCATGACTTCATTTGTACGAAACACCACGGGCAGGCAAGACCACAGACAGCAGACCGGGAGGACAGGACAGGGAAGGAAGACCGTGGTAACCCGTGGCACAGGGTGTACGAGGGTGTCTTCTGGGTGGTTAAAATGTTTTGCAGTTAGGAAAGAAGCTCTGGTCATGGAACATCCTAAAAATATCCCAAGGCTCGTAAGAATGGACTTTCTCCCCACCAGAGTCACAGTGCAGGGAAGCAAGTTTAGGACTCGGAGGCAGGAGCGCTGTGAAGCCGAGGCCAGCCCGGGATTCTCAGAAGACCTTGGCTCAAAAAGTAACACAAAACAAAAATGACTCTAAGAAACTGTGCTAAGAACACTTAGCTAACTCAGCACTGAGAACTCCAAACACTCCAAGTGTCCTTCACACTGGGGTCATGGCCCGTTCGCTGACTGAGACTAAGAGCCCTTCACATGAGAAGGAGCAGATCACCTCGGGGAAGGAAGCGCTGCTCCGCACACAGCCTCTGCTTCTGCCACACACCATCAACTAGGAGACGCTGTCACACGTTTCTTATTGCGAGTGACTGCGGAGAAGTGAAAAGCCCTTTAAGCACATCTTACATCACTTACCATATTATAAAATTCCAGCTCTCTCGGGCCCCGTGGCGGTGGCTGTAACTGCTTCAGAACTGTGCCGTCCGGGTGCTGGAGTATACCTGCAGAACAGGAGGGAAATCGGGTCTTCATTACGGTACTGCATTGCACAGGACAGATCCATTCCAGAAATAACAGGCAAACCACTTCCATAAATTTAGGGGTTCACTGTTACTTATTTCTGAAATCTAACGTTCAGCCAACATGTTTCAGTACTCACCGCATACAAAGACCAGAATGCACATTTCAAACCACTTATTTCTACAGTCTTCAGTCATTACTCCTGTGGATTTTCTAACCTAACACATGTGACTTTAAAATATGTGTTACCAGAGGTCATGTATGCAGACATCACTTGGATAATTTTACAATTCTCTCACCTGTTTGAAGAACGTGAACAACTGGCCTGATGCAGATGTACCATATGCAGGTGTGCAGGCTGGCACTAGCCGGAGCAGGCAGGGAAGTCTTTTACAGGCTGTCCACCCAAAAGGAGAGCCTTTAAGTCACCATATGCACACCAAAACCAACTCTACCCATGTAAAATACAAGTAGGCATTTCAAATTTTAAATCTTAAATCATTATTGGAATTTCACAAAACCATGATAATTAGAACAAGATATGATTCAAATAAATCTACTTAAAATTTAAAAAATTCTACCCATGTTTTTATTTCTTTTTGGCAAGTAAAATTTTTCAATCATGACAAAAATGCGTAATTTAGCCAACTAAAACAGAAAGCCCCAACTTAGGAAATATAGCAAAGGTTTTAAGACCTAGACACAGAAGAGATGGAAGGGAAATACTGGTCTACATGAACAAGCTTGGTGAGCAGTCCAAAGGTTCTGGGACATCAGGAGTGTCTAAATTACTAAACAAAAGCACTAAAAGGGGATGGAGAGATGCTCAGTAGCTAAGAGCACTGGCTGCTCTTGAAGAGGACCCAGGTTTGGTTCCCAGCACCCACATGGCAGCTAGCAACCATCTGTAACTCCAGTATCAAAGAATCCGATGCCCCCTTGGCTTCCATGGGCACTGCACACACATGGTGCACTTACATACATGCAGTCAAAACACTCATACACATAAAAATAAATTTTAAAAAATTTTAAATCACTACAGAAGAATTCTGTTTCTGAAGCTTGGTGTTGAGAACAAGAGGCTCTACGCCGAGTGTGATGACACATGCCTGTTGTTCTGGTTTGTTTCTTCATTGCTGTGACAGAATACTCTGACCAATACCAACTTGGGGAGGAAAGAGTTTATTCAGCTTACAACTCCCAGGTCACAGTTCATCAGGGAGCCCAAGGTAGGAACTCAGGGCAGGAACC